CAGAAATGCCAGTAAACAGATAAAACAAATTTTAAACAAGTAAGGACAGTACTCAGTAAAATGTAAAGTCACTATAATCCAACCAGACCTTAGGACTGCTCTGTCATTTACAAGAGCCAACTGCTGGTGGTTTAACCTGAGGGTTACTACATCTCAGGCAATTTTTTGTTTTATTCATTAATGGGATGAGGGCATCGCTGGCTAGGCAGCATTTATTACCCATCCCTAAATGCCCAAAGGGTAGTTCAGAGTCAACCACATTGCCGTGGGTCTGGAGTCACATGGAGGCCAGACCAGGTAAGGATGGTAGTTTCCTTCCCTAAAGGACATTAGAGAGGGGAGAGGTTGAGAAGGACAGTACTCCATGGTAACCTCAGCCAGTACAGGAATTCAGCCTATACTGATGGTATTATGCTGTTTTACAAACCAGCTGTTCAGCCAACTGAGCTGCCATCATACCCATCTAATCCTAACCCATCCATTAGCTTTTTGCAATACTTCATTTCCAAACAGACTAATAAACAGGAGCAAAAATATAACCTCCACAACTGGAGGGAGGAACTAGTTGACCAAAGTATCAGAGTTGAGATGATGAGTAATAATTTTAACACAATGAGTTCTTCACAATCATCTGGAATGGAGTGGCGAAAGTAAACAATAACAAGAGAAACCTCTTTAACCAGCGACAGTCTACTTGTAGATGTCAATAACACAGGTAGAAATTTTGACAAGTAGCAGAGATATCTTCAAGGGAAAACTGGATAATCACCTGAGGAAGAAGAGAATAGAGGGATATGTTCATGGATTTAGATGAAGAAAGCTGGCAGGATGCTCATGTGGAGCATAATCATGATAATGGAACTGTTGGACTAAATGCCTCTTTCAGTCCTGCAAGTACTGTGATTATTTTGTAACCAAATTCCACAGTACCTCTGAAAAGACAATTTGACTTATTAAGAAGGAAAAATGTGCAACGCTGAGCAAGGGAAAAAGGGTAAATAAATTATTCTTTCAAAATACCAGCAGTGGCACATGGGGCTGAATGGATTCCTTCTACACTGTATGAAAGCTACAAGAACAGAATCTGTCATCTGAAACCCAAGTATATTGTTGTCTTTTGGACAGATGTAAGCAGTCTTGTTGTGATGTGGACCTTGGTACAATCTTCCCCAGCTTGTCAGAATGATTCCTCTGACAAAATACAGTGCGTGGAGCATCATTATAAAATATAAATGATGTGCACGAAAGCAATCCCTGTTATATATAGCAGTGCAGTCTCCAGGATTGATTAAACGGGTTCAGTTTCCCATCAGTTGCCCAATTTGAGATGTTTCCAAACATGGCCATAACATTAACCAATGGAGCATTGTGAATTTGATCAGAATATTTGGAGTGGGAACCCCAGCTAATTGAATTCATTCCCATCACAGGAATGCAGTTGTCATACTTTCCTTGCCATTTCTCTGACTGAGATCATTGTAGACAAGGAGCTTCCCAGTTGTGTAACTCAGCACCACACAGTACAGCAGTTATTCACAGAATCACTGAGAAAGACCATCACTCACGTTTCTTTAGCAGCCACCTCTGTCCTCTCTATGCCATCCTCCTGGTGTTTCAGGTAGGGTGGTTTGAGTGCTAAACCAAAAGCATTTTTCCACTGACAACAAGGTGCAGGGCTGGATGAACACAGCAGGCCAAGCAGCATCATAGGAGCAGAGAGGCTGACGTTTCGGGCCTAGACCCTTCATCAGAAAAGGGGGAGGGGAAGGGGGTTTTGAAATAAATAGGGAGAGAGTGGGAGGCGGATAGAAGAGGGATAGAGGAGAGGATAGGTGGAGAGGAAACAAACAGGTCGAAGAGGCGGGGATGGACCTTCCTAACTCCCTACCTACACTCACCTTTACTGGCTCCATCCCCGCCTCTTCGACCTGTTTGTTTCCTCTCCACCTATCCTCTCCTCTATCCCTCTTCTATCCGCCTCCCACTCTCTCCCTATTTATTTCAAAACCCCCTTCCCCTCCCCCTTTTCTGATGAAGGGTCTAGGCCCGAAACGTCAGCCTCTCTGCTCCTATGATGCTGCTTAGCCTGCTGTGTTCATCCAGCCCTGCACCTTGTTGTCTCGGATTCTCCAGCATCTGCAGTTCCTACTATCTCTGATAGCATTTTTCCACTGATGTTTGCTCCCTGCTTTTGAAAAGCTTCACCTATGCTGAACAAGTAAAATGAAACAACATTTAAGACCGACAACCAAAGCCAGCCTTCCTCAATGAGAAAGAGATTTGTCAAATAAAATCTGTACAAGGGCCAGGGCAGGGATCCTGGGGAGAGAGAATTTTTGTACTCATCCAAATGAAGACTAACGAACCATGTATTCTATTCGGTGATGACCATGACCTGCAGGAGCACTCTTTCCTCCGAGTTAAAATCTTATAGGTTCAAACCCAAAGTGATAAACATGAGCGTCTAATCGAGGATATCACTTCAGTGCAGTCTGAACGGACTGCTAAATTTTTCGAATTAACAGACAAGATGTTAAATTGAGGCTCCAGTTTTTCACTGAAGTAAGTACAGACAATGCCGTGTCACTGTTCATAGAATAGTGGAGGGATACTCTCCTGGCAAGTACTTACATTCAACTACCATCGCAGAATAAGATTGGTCACTTACTTCTTGTGTTTGTGTAGCACTGAAATATACAAGTTGCAGACCACGTTATTCTACATTACAACAACAACTCCACTTCAAAAATACTTCATTGGCTGTAAATTGTTATGGAATGTCCTGATATTGTGAAAGACGCTTTATCAGCATTTTTATAGCATTCCAGTCAAAGTATGCCAAATATCCTGTTTCTGTGCTGTAAAATTCTGCGATACTATGTTTAACATGATTTTCTATGTATAATGTATTCATCATTAAAAAAGCAGCATTAAGACAAATATAATTGTAAGAGGACAAAATAGCCAGTAGGAAATTAAAGCATAAATGACAACTCAGTTCTCTGCGTTTTACTGCAAGGGTTCAGAGTGAGATATAACCCACTGACTTTATTTGAACATCCTTGATCTAGACATTTCCAAAGCCTTCTAAAGTACCTTTTTCTTCCATAGTAAAGTAATAAAACAGTAACAAAGTAATAAAAAATGACAGCTGGAGGTTATATAGGGACTGTACAATATGGTACAACATCCGGTTTACTCAGCAGTTTTAGTAATAGCTTAACATTCAGATTACAGACACAATGCTTTTACAGTTTCATATTTTAATTGTTAAGTTCAAAAAGTAATTCTCTCAAGAGGAATTAAATAATAACCCTGAAATTAACAAGGAAAATAAATGCAATAGAGGTATAATAGACATACCTTTCTTCTCATGTAAAAGATCTGTGTAGATTTTACAATTAATCAAGAAAATATAAGTGGTATTCACTCATTACTGAAGTAGGTACTTACTATGAAGACCTGGAAGCTTAAAATCTGAAGCAATATCAAATTTGTTGTCTTATATAAGTAAACTGTTCCAGCAAGTAACCTTGAAACCTGAATGAGAGGGAGTGATAAACTCATTTATAAACAGATCAAAAATTACTTACTGCATTATAAGCATATCTTAATTATATTTAATCTGCTGCCAACTGTTTAATCAAATATTACGCAAGTTATAATGAACAAATACACCAACTTGTTTGCTGCTGAGCCATGGAGAACAGAGAGGCCTAGACTCATCCTTGTCTTCTATCCTGGGTGAGCTGACCTCTCACTTTGACCTCAGTACGACCTCATAAGGAGGGGCGAAGTATCAGCCAGGGTTCCCGGTTCTGATAGTTATTCAGAGGCAGTACATATCCTAGAATCATAAAATGCTCCATACAAATGATGACCACTCGCCCAGCATGCTTGTGCTAGCTCTTACAGAGTCAAAGAGTTATACAGCATGGAAACAGACTTTTTGGTCCAACTCATCCACACCAACAAGTTATCCTAAATTAATCCAGTCTCATTTGCCAGCATTTGGTCCAGATCCCTCTAAACCTGTCGTATTCAAGTATCTATCCAGATGTTGTAATTGTATCTGCCTCCACTACTTCCCCCGGCAGCTCATTCCATACACACAGTACCCTCTGCATGAAAATGTTGCCCCTTTGGTCCCTTTCAAATCCTCCCCCTCTCACCTTAAACCTATGCCCTCTAGTTTTGGACTCCCTTACCCTGGGGAAAAGACTTTGGCTATTTACCCTATCTATGATCCTCATGATGTTATAAACCTCTATAAGGTCACCCCCTAACCTCCGATGCTCCAGGAGAAATAACCCCAGCCTATTCAGCCCCTCCCTATAGCTCAAACCCTCCATTCTGACAATATCCTCGTAAATCTTTTCTGCATCCTTTCAATTTTAACAACATCTTTCCTGTAGCAAGGAGACCAGAATTGAATGCATTACTCCAAAAGTAGCCTAACCAATGTCTTGTACAGCCACAATATAACATTCCAACTCCTGTACTCGATGCACTGACCAATAAAGGCAAGTGTACCAAACACTTTCTTCGCTACACTATCTACTTGTGACTTCACCTTCACTCCAAGGTCTCTTTGTTCAGATTTCCTTCACTAAAGGATATTAATGGTTTCTACAACAATCAATAACATTAATGTGCTCACTATTACTGAAATGTGCTGTCAATTCCAGATTATTAAAACATTAAATAAATGAATTTAAAGTTCACATGCTGCTGTATTAGCAATTTGAACACAGCCTGGAGCCTTTAAATTATTAGTCTACCCATTACACCATTATCTCCCAAAACATTGATTATATATTCAGATTGCTGTTATTCCTGTGTCATGCATCAGTCCTATTTTTGGTCCATATCTCTGACAATTCCTGGGAACCTCTTCCATAACTCTATATCTACATGATACATCTCCTCTCTCATAATGCAGAATTCTCTCCCCTCTCCAAATCCTCTCGTTTCTGAGTCATTTATTGCTCAGCAAAATTCCAGTGGCCAATCATTCTCTGAAACACCGTAAGATCAGCCAGCATTCTCCACCATGATCGTTGACAAATGAAGTCATCATGAAAGGCAAAGAAGTTGAGTTGGGTCCAACATCCACTTGCAGCAGCTTCCATTTATAGAAGGTATTTATAGTAACAAAAGATTCACTGGAACAAGATTTGAAACTGAGTCAAACAAGGAAATACTTGGGCAAGTGATCAATACCTTCATCAAGTTAGAAGATTTTAGGAAGCGTCTTAAAGAAGGGGAGCAGAAAGTGAAATATAGAAAGGAATTCCAGAGCTTGGAGCCCAGGTACCCGAAGACATGACCATCAATGAGATAATATTAAAGTTGGAAATGCATAAGAGGCCTGAATTGGAGGAGATCTCAGAGGGTAATAAGACTGGAAGAGATTATAGAAGTAGAGAGGAGCAAGACCATGGGAGAATTTGAAAACAATGACCAGGAGTCAATGTAATTCAGCCGTTATAAGTGGGCTAGGTGAACATGATTTAGTGTGAGTTATGATGCAGGCACCAGAGGTTAGGGTCAGCTCAAATTTCCAGGTGTGTAAGATGTTAATGAGCCATGAGAGAATTGTCATGAGATTGTCAAGTGTAGAGATGGCAAGGGTTTGAATGTGGCCTTGGGGAGCCGATGAGACAGAGAGTAAACTTGTGAGTTTGATGAGCACGGGAGTTTTGTGCGGAAGGGAGTGAGCTGCTTCTTTCTTCTTCTAATTTTGTCAGCTGCTTCAAGAGCAGGAAATGAGAACCAGCTGACACTCAGATCTGTGCAATGGCCTTCTCACCCCAAACCACATTCAGGTTAAAATAAGATGTGAGTTCACAGGCAAACAGGTAAGTAGTTGTCGTTGAATATTTTTCTCACTTACCCAATGTTTTAAAGCCCAGGAAATGTATTGGTAATTGTGAGGTATAATTAGCATTAATAAAGTGTACAAATGGGCAATTAATTATATTGGGAGTAATAGAGATTATTAATTATAAATTCATTCATAAAAATAAATTAGTTAAGACACTGTAAAGATGTTGGGGCAAGTATATGTTAAGACTGAAGGACGTGGGGACTCCTGGATGCCAGTGTGATCAAGGACAAAAAATCTGTGATGAGTGTCTGCAGCTCAAGAAATTTCAGCTTAGAATTAATGAGCTGGAGACTGAGGTGCTGATTAGATCCCTTTATTTGGTCAGTAGTCAAGGGCAGGAAAGTATGACTGTGAATGAGACTATGAATATTCAGAAATGAAGAGTTAACAAAGTGAATTTGATCGTATAAAAAGTAAGAATGGAAAATAAGGAAACAACATGTGAATTAAGCAAGAATTCTTCATCAGTCTTCACTACAGAGGATACATGTAATATCCCAGAACTAGTGATAAAATCAGAAAATGGAAGGGAGGAAGGATCTTAGGAAAATTAGTGGTTATTCTTATTGTATACCACTCCCACAAGTGACCTCTTGCCTTTATGGCTTCTCATTTCTACCGAAACAGTTTCCACATTTTGGTTGAACTTAAACCATCCCTCTCTATTGTGCTAATACCATCTTTAAGTAACAGATCTACCCTCAACCTTTTCCAAGTTTCCTATCATTCCTAAATGTCCTGTGTTCTTAAATATTTAGGTTATTATCCAGCTCATCATGAAGCCATATCTCTGTAACAGTAGCACAAGAGGATAATAAAAACTATAACAAAATAAATTTCAAACTTA